TTCGATCTCAGACTGCTGTGCTAGCAGTGAGCGAGGATCTGTAGGTGTGGGACCCTCTGAGCCAGGCATGGGATATAATCTCCTGGTGTGCCATTCGCTAAGGCCATTGGAAAAGTACAGTATTAGGGTGGGAGTGTGCTGATTTTCCAGATACTGTCTGTCATGGCTTCCTTTGGCTAGGAAAGGGAATTCTCCAACCCCTTGCACTTCCCAGGTGAGGCAATGCCCCACCCTGCTCCGTGGGCTGCACCTACTGTCTGACAAGCCCCAGTGAGATGAACCCAGTACCTCAGTTGCAAATGCAGAAATCACCCATCTCCTGCATCACTCACACTGGGAGCTGCAGACTGGAGCTGTTCCCATTTGGCCATCTTAACCTCCCACATCACACTTTCTTTAGCCACTGGTTGGGCACTTAGGTTGGTTTCATATCCTTGCAATTGTGAATTGTGTTGCTATAAAGGTGTGTGTGCATGTGTCTTTTCCATATAATTACTTGTTTTCCTTTGGGTAGATACCCAGTAGTGGGATTGCTGGGTCAAATGGTAGATCTAGTTTTAGTTCTTTAAGGAATCACCATACTGCTTTCCATAGTGGTTGTACTAATTTACATTCTCACCACCAGCAGTGTAAAAGTGTTCTCTCTTCACCATATCCATGCCAACATGTATTGTTTTCTGACTTTGTAATTAATGTCATTTTTTTCTTTTTCTTTTTTCTTTTTTTTCTTTTTTTTTGAGACAGAGTCTTGCTCTGTCTCAAAATTTTCCCCACACTTGGATAATTTTTTTGTATTTTAGTAGAGACAAGGTTTCACTGTGTTAGCCAGGATGGTCTCAATCTCCTGACCTTGTGATCTGCCTGCCTTGGCCTCCCAAAATGCTGGGATTACAGGCTTGAGCCACCACTCAGCCAAATTAATGCCATTCTTGCATGTAGAAGGTGGTATCTCATGGTGAACCCCACATTTATTTAGCAAACATTAGGCAGTTACTATGTGTCAGGCTCTTCTAGGCCTCAGTGAGTGAAACATCAAAGATTCCACAAAGGGACTCAAAAAACAGGTAAATGCAGGCTACTATAATAAGCGCGGAAAACCTGCTTCCAGGAGGATGCAATGTCTAAACAGAGAATTGGATGAGGAACACAGTTAATCCAGGTGAATGGCAGGAGAAATCCTTTAGGGAATCAGTATCATAAACAAAGGCTCGGAAGACAGAGCACACAGGAAGTCTGGGGGAACTGCCAGCAGTTCAGGGTGGAGATTAGAGAGAAAGGAGCGCAGGGGCCAAAAGCAAGCTTGGAGCAGTGAGCAGGTTCAATGACTAAGGCTTGTGGGGTTGGGGAGAACCTTGGCTTTTATTTGAGGACAATGTGCAGCATTGGCAGCACTGAAGCCAGGAAGAACCTTGATCAGATCTGCATTCCAGAAGAATCACTCTGGGTTAAGTGTGAAGAACGAACTGAGAGATGCTAGACTGGATACATGGAGAAGAAGAGGTTCGGGGAAACCCTGGCGGGAACTGTAGGGAGAATATTAGGATGGAGGAAAGGGTAGAAAGGACCCTGAGAGAGCTGGGTGATAAAGATCCACTGTTTCACACAGAAAATGAGGTGGAAAAGGAGAAAGGTCCCCATGTGAACAGCACCCCATCTGGAAAAAGGACATAAAACAAGGGAATTTGGCCCATGACATAAGAGGTGCTTGGGCTCACATGGTATTGAGTGATTAGGGAGGAGTTTAGTTGAGTTCACCTTTACAGAAAGGTATTGAGTGCCAGGTATGCTGTCATCAGGGACATAAGGAAATCAAAGGTATCTGCCTTATATCTTTGTGACCTACATGTCTGGTCCTGCTTAAGAACTATGCCAATCCCCGACTTCCCAAGGCCCCGACTAATTTTGTCTTGTGTCCGTGTGGGAAGGGAGCTGAGGCTTGGCAAGAGGATCTTAGCCCATACAGTCCAAAAAATAGTAGAAATGTTTCTTTAGAAGATACAAATTCCCCAATTAAATTGACTAATTTATCCATACAAGAGAAATAAAATCACTAAAAAATAAACTGAGTGAAGGAAAAGAAATCAACAAAGTATAATTACCAGAAGTTTGTGGGATTCTGCATGAAAACAAGCTTGAATAGTGAAAGCAGAAGATTTGCCTAACAGTATGACACTCGGATGAAAAAAAAAAAAAAAAAACAGATAGGTTTAGTGGTGTTGCTTCTTTACAGATGCAGGAGGTTTGAAAACTAATAGAGAAAAATATTTGGAGAGAACGCCATCTTAGCTTTCACACAGAATGCAAGACCAGCCTTTCCAGTGGGCATCTCTTGATTTTTGTTTCCAGGGCTTTGATTTCATAAACACAGCTCAGCTCTACAGATCATCTGGCCCAGTCCGCGACCCAGGTTTGTAATGATCTTGTTCAGTCATGGTCCAGCCTGTGCATAGAGATCCTAAGATGATGCCCGGTGATCCTGTCTCGTGGCATCTCATTCAGCTGAGAACCGGTGGGACCTAAACTTGCTTCTAAGCAACAGAATGTGGCAAAAATGATGCCACTTCTGTGATGAGGTCATAACAGCCCCACTCCTGTATTACTAGATGACTCTGTCTTCTGCCTTCTTTGTTTGCAAGTTTTGATGAAGCAGAAAGGCCTGTGTGGCAAGGAACTGAAGTCAGCCTCTGGCCACCAGCCAGTAAGGAACTGAGGCTGTCAGTCTAACAGGCATGGAGGAATGAATCCTGCCAACAATTGCTGGGGCTTGGAAGTGGATCCTTCCCCAGTTCAGCCTCCAGATAAGACCCAGCCATGGCATTCTGATGAAAATCATATGAGAAAGCTGCACAGCTGTGTCTGGATTCCTGACCCATAGAAATGTGGGATAATACATATGTGTTGTTGTAAGCTGCTAAGTTTGTGGCAATTTCTTACATAGAAATAGATAGCTGAAAACACTTCCCACAGCTTTCATTGAGTTAAGTGACCCTTGGGGCCAGTTAGAACTTCTCTCATCCCCTTCCCTGTGGCAGCCCTTATCTTTCTCCTAGGTTGACATCCCGCTTTCTCTTTACCAATGTAAATGTAAAGTTCTCTTACTATCTCCATTGCTGTCCTCTCACACCATCCAGGAGGCCCCACTAGGGAGTGGCAGACAGAGAGGAGGAAGTGCTGTGGTCTGGGGTGTGGGTAGACTCCTCCTCATGGTTCAACCTTGAGTGCAGGTATTACCAGTTGGAAGAAGAGAGGTCAGGAATCATCAGGGATTGGAAGGAGATGAGTGAACACCCCACCGCTCTCAGGCCCATGCAGGCTGTGAAATAAAACAGTGATGAATAGACTCTACATGGCCCCCGCTGGTCTTTACCCTTCAGCATTCTAGATAGTGCACCTCGTATGCCATGATGCAAACACCACTGATTCCCTCCATGGCAGATATAAATCTCCCTTTCCCCCGCATCCAGCAAGCACATTCCATCAGCCTATGGGTCACTTCAACCCCATGACTCCCCCGTCGGGACTGTGGCAAATGCAATAGACTCTGGTCCAGTCTCTGTGCCCGGAGAAGAAAGGGAAGCTGGTCAGAGCCCACAGGCGGTGACCCACAGGGAGCCAGTAGATGGGTATGAGGGTGAGTGTGAAAGAGCGGTCACTTCGGCTCAGCAGTCAGACTGTCTCCTTAGAGTCATGAGTCACCCCACTGACAGTTACTAAACTTCCTAGCAACCTCAGTTTCCTTGTCTGAAAATGGGGCTGATAGCTGTCTCTAGGTCATAGGGCTCTTGTGAGGTTTAAATGATTTAATTCATGTAAATCCCTTAGGAACGTGACTGACACTTTTTTAAAGGCACAATGTGGGACCCATCCATTTATGTCCTGTTTCCTTATTCCAAGTGTGATGAAACCAGCTCTCCCCAACACTTCTCCTGATCCCCCTTCCGTGCCTGCAGGTGGAGAGCTGTTCTGTCCCTTACAACCTACAGTGTAGGGAGCAACCAGTTAAAGGCCAGGGTGGTGCCAAGTATGAGGAAGTCACAGAGTAACATACACACACATACATACATACCCATACCTGCTTATATACATAAATATGTACAGATACATACATATACGCACTTATAAACACACACATACCCACAGACGCCCATACCTGTTTATACATACCCCAAACATGTGCACAGATAGACACACGCACATTACACACTTCCAATTCCTCAATTCAGTTTGGGGCCTGGGGAATTCCAATTCAATCTCTTTTAAGAAATTTAAGAATCTGAAAGAGAAAGACCTGAGAATTTTTGTCCCACAGGAGACAGACCCACTTCCCAGGCACTGTGGGACTTTCTGAGACCCATGTGGCCCTGCTCCTGGAAGCTCATGGAGAAGCGGGAAAACCTGACTTTAGATCAAGGTTCTGGAGCCCAAAGGCAGCCCCAGGAACTGGCCTTCCCTGGGTACCAGGCCTCCGGCCGTCCAGCAGGTCCCCTTCCTCCTATCTCACCGACGACATCTCAGCCTGTCTTCCACAGCCAGGGGCCCCTGCCAGGCTTTGCTGCACAGCAGGAGTCTCCACGGGGCTCCAGAAGGAACAAGAACAGAGTTTAACTCAAGCCCCTCGGGTGAGACACCCTCAGGTCCAGTTTTTTGGTTCTAACATTGGTGATATCACTTTTCAGTCTTAAAATGTCTGTTTCTTTTCTGATTTGCAAAAAGGTTTATAACTTTTGATACGTCTGCTACGTTCTATTAGAACCTAGCAGTCCTGCGTGCTACTTTCATCCACTGTGTCTCTGCTGATTCCGTTTCCGGGTGTTTTATCTTCCGGTTGAGTTAAAGACTATATGTAATTGTTGGGCACAGAGGACCAGGAAAGAAAAAGATTCCCGGTGAAGCTGGACCCATGTACATCACTGTTGACAGGAGTAACTACTGTCCTTTCCTGTTTACCTCCCTGCACTCCTTCTCTCTGTCCTCCCTCCCCACCCACCCTCGGGACAGCCTCAGGAGCCTGGGCCAGAATCTCCAACCCCGCAGTAGAAATGCTGAGGAGGAGGAGGAGGAGGAGGAGACTGTGTTCGGTCCCCTCGTTCCTCAAATATGGATGCCTCCAAGGAACATAATTTCAGCTCCGAGAGGTCCTGACGTGCGGCCCGGAGGACCCCAGTACCTGCCGGTAGTAGCGTCTCCTTGCCGTGCTCCAGGTGTCTGAACAACCACCTAATGCAGTGACCTATCAGGGCTTCCCTTGTGGCCTCCGCGGTCCAGAACAAGCCGCTCTTTGAGCCGCTGTCCAGGTCTGCAGGTCCTCGTTCAGGGACATGAAATCTCCCTGTCGTAGGTGGACTGAAAGTGTCCCCCGAGGAAGCTCCTGTCCGGAGTCACCACCTAGCCCGGCAGTAGCTTCCGCAGGTGCGGTGCCCTGGACCTGCCCCAGGGAGAGCCGGAGGCGGGGCCGGGGAGGGGAGCGAGGTCTCCCCGCCCACCCCAGCTCCTTCCTCCCTCTGTGATTGGTCACAGCACAAATCAGTCATGATCCGGATGGAAAGAGAAACCTGGAGCAAAATGTCCCCAGCGCTTCCCCACCTTAGAGGGATCAGCTGAGGCCCCGACCCCCATCCCTGGGCGATCCGGGCTCGTACCTCTGGGGTTGGGGGTGCGGGGGCCAACACCTGTGCCCGGAGTCTGAGGTCAATCACCGGCTGACCCTGGTGGTGGTGCCGGCCCAGGAACCTCAGGCCCCTCAGTAACACATTCCCTGCGGTCTTCGAGAACTTTCCTCAGGGCGCCCACAGTCCTGTCCCATCTTCTCCACCCGCGGCGCCCGCGGTTTCACGCTCTGATTCTCGTCGCGGCTATAGAAGCTCAGGAACTGCGTGTTGCCCACGAAGGCACCGCTTGGGAGCTCAGGGCCCACATGGTGAAGGCGCAGCCCGACAGCCTTCAGGTACCCGGGGTGCGGGCCTGGGCTCCGGGAACCGACACGTTGCGGGCGGGAGAGGCGCAGGGAGCCTGGGACGCCGCCCCGCTCCCATCGCGTCCCCACCCGCCCCCTGTCTCTGGGACGCCCTCGCTCCGCCTCCCCGCGGGGACCCAGCCTCCCGAGCTCCCTCCCACTTCCCCGCCCGGCACCGGAGCCGCTCACTTGGGAGCTTCTTACTGTGTCGGGGAAGGTGGGAAGGGGACAGAGGGACGGGAACCAGGGGAGGGTGG